AAAAGCAAGAGAATTCACTGAAAAGATAATTAACAAAGAATTTCAAGCGTCTGATGGTTGCTTGATCGTCTGATGATTGAGCTGGGAAGATATAATAGATGACCCTTGACCGTCTGATGGTTGCTTGATCGTTGGAAAAACATATATAATGTATCTTTTAAGGCGGTGCACCCTTTCCACCGCGGTGGAGAGGGTAACTCTTGTACAGCCAATATGAACACGTCTAGAAGGAAAAAAAATCTCCCTACAATTTTATCCAGATATAAGCTTGATGAAATTTATAATGCAGATAAATGCGAATTGTTTTTTCGTATGCAATCTAATAAGTCACTAAATCTTCGATCTGATTCTTGTATTGGGAGAAAGCACAGTAAAATTTATTGGGATGGCCGCAGCAAATGCAGCTAGTGATAAAATTACTATCTATAAAATTTAAATTAAAATAAAAGCTAGATGCATAGCGTTCGAAAAGTTGATTGTCGAACAGTACGCTAAATGATACAAAGTTTACTAACAAAAAAAAGAGTAACGTTTATAATAGATAACTTCCCAGCACACCCGACGATTGATAATCTAAAATCTATTGAACTCATTTTTTTACCACCGAATACTACGTCTAAACTTTAACCAATGGATCAGGGCGTTATGCTCTTTGAAATTTTATTACAAATCTTTGGCATTACAAAGATTGGTCGTAGCTATCAATAAAAGAAAAGGTCTTCCTATTTTTCGATTTTAGATGCAATGAACATGCTTGATTTTGGATGGCAAAAAGTGATCTTAGATAGTAAAAACCTCAGCCATCGTTAATTGTTTTGCAAAATCATAAATTTTGGAAGATCAGCAGAAATCTGCTCATTTGGATGAAGACGGCAACCTATTTCAATAGCTTCAAAATCAGATAGAAAAAATTGATAATTTTTACCCTACAGGTTCAACTGCTAAATGTTATTTCTGCAAATGAAACCTTAATGAGCATAGTACCTTTACTTACAGATGAACTGTTGAAAAAAGAAGTAAAAAATGCAGCAAATAAACATAATCCTGATATCAAAAAAGACAATAATGATAGTGCGATTGATCCAGCTTACCCCAAAAATTACTGATAATCGGGAAGCACTGCAAGTTTTTGTATGACTATTTGACCTTCAGTTTTAGTAGTGAAGATTTTCAATAAAAGCTCAATGCAGTCTCAATTTTATTCGATAGAAACATTTTTAAATCACAAATTAACTTTCAAAAACTATTAAAAAATATAACAAACTTAAAAAAATGCAAATTTTTCAAAACTAAGCATTTAGTATAAGTATCTTAAAACTTCTTATAAGTCATAAAATATTTTTTTATAAATATAATTTTTTTTTTCAAAGGTAAAATATATTTTATTCAAACTATTTGATCAAAGTTTTAAACAAAAACTTTAAAATTTTAGGTGCAAAAGAACTTTACTGGTTCAATTTAAGTGCTAAATTTAAAATACAAAACAAATATTTTTTCTGTTAGCTGTTTTCCAAGGAATGCAGAGCTCTGTTAACAATTATCTTTGTTAATATTTGTTAATATCATTAAAAGGTTGAAGAATTATAAAATATCTCTGCAATTTAAAAAAATTATTACACTGATTGGATACAGTAGGAGAGACCGGGGCTAAATGAAGAAGGGGTAAGTTGACAAATTATCTTTATAGCCTTGTTTTTACTTATCAACAAATAGATTTGTTAGATTTGTTTTTACTTATCAACAAATGTTCGTGATATAGAATGACCCGATAACTCGAACATTCGCTAACTCGAACATTCGCTAACTCGAACATTCGCTAACTCGAACTTTCGCTAACTCGAACATTCGCTAACTCGAACATTCGCTAACTCGAACATTCGCTAACTCGAACTGTTTTCTCGGTCCCTTGGAGGTTCGAGATATCTGGAGTTCACTGTAGTTTTTTTTTTGTTTTTGTTTAATTTATTTATTTTAGGTGATCCAAGAAGTCCTTACGGTTACAGAGCACCGCGGAAGAGCATTTGAAAGTAAGTTTATGTCGCCTTCCTTTCGAATATTATAAAACTTGCCCAGAAGTGGTATTGAACCAAGGATCTCTAGCTCTGAGACAAGAGCGCTAACAACTTTGTTTTAATAATTCTTCAACTTCTGAGGCAAGCGCGCTAACAATTAACGCTTTAACAATTTTGTTATGTAGAAAACACTATAAGAAAATTGTTGAAAGAATTTTATACATGTTTAAAAAACAAGCTTTTTCAGAAAATGTTGTATTGTACGCTAAGTTCAAACAGAACTAATCTAACAATAGAAAGTTAACTCAAAGTAGATTGACTCAGATTGTATTAAGTATATTTTGACCAAAAATCACTATTTTGGTCATAATACTTATGATACAAAGATATTAATGAAAATATTAATAAAAAAATATGTTAGCTTTTTTAAAAAAATATTTTTAAAAATGTAAACTTTGTATTTGTTTTTATATAAGATTTAATATATTGAAAAAGATACAAAGGCATGCAATTTTAGGTATTGTATTTTTATTAAGGTTTAAAGCCTTCCAAATGTGAAGAAATATATATATATTTTTTTTAATCTGATAATATTAATACGCTAACTTAATAGTAGTAACAATCGACTTGCGTCATTTTCTAGGCTTTTCTATTTTAAAGTAATTTCTAGATTTTTTCTATACGCGGTTTTTTTTATTTTTTTTACTAACAATCCGTATTATGGGTTGCTTACTGCTAGTTTTAATGATTAGTCTTGCTGAAATGTTTTTGTTATACTTTAATTTGTAAAATGTAGAGCGTTCCGACTGTCGGCGCCCGGTTCTGAATTAGTGATTGAAAGCTATCCATGGGTCATATTTCTATGATAGAAGACAAGAGATGGATTCATTATTTTAAAATCGGTTTCGCTTTTCAATTAAACTAACACTCTTTATGAATAAAACATACGAGATTTACTTATAAACAAGCTTATTATATATATATATATATATATATATATATATATATATATATATATATATATATATATATATATATATATATATATATATATATATATATATATATATATATATATATATATATATATATATATATATATATATATATATATATATAGTATATATATATATATATATATATATATATATATATATATATATATATATATATATATATATATATATATATATATATATATATATATATATATATATATATATTAGCCACTTAAATACGACGCTGTTTAATTTAACGAATATTATAATATATAGCAATATAGTTTTTAAAAAATTATTTTGAAAAGAAAGGTTTTGTATGCATAAATTAAAGAATAAAGAATAAAATACAGTGAAATACATGAATAGAATGAATAAACAAAAAAAACTATTGTAAAGATTTTAGTTTTTTTTATTACAAAACAGATTCAAAAAAAAAAATGACTTTTAACTTTTCGCAAAATAAAAAGTGTACAACAAAATGTTAATAAGCAAGGCTTATAGTACCTTTAGCATATTTTGGGTCGTTTTTCTTATAAAAAATTATTAGTTATACTTTTTAAGTTGAAACAAATACCTTGCTCCCAGTTCATTCTTGCGCACAAAATAAGATAGCAAACATTTGATATTTTTTTATAAGACTTTGCAACCAGGACTTCTTTCTAAATCTGAGAGCAATAAAATAAAAAATCATGGTCTTTTTTAAGTATTTTATGAAATCAGGTCTCTGAAATCTGAGCTCAGAAATAATGAAGTTTTTCTTGAACTTTAGTATTTTTAACTGATCCTTTTGTAATAAAAAAGCGTTAATTTTCCTAAGTTTTAATTGGCAATCACTTTTTTAAGAAATCTTTAAAATGATTTGAAATCAAGCGCAAACTAGAAAGTACGGTAAGTACGTAAGGTTAGAAAAATAAAAACTTAAAACATCAGAAGTTAAACGAATAGTGTTTATGCCATCCATGTTAATACTGCAGAGCTTGTTGAAACTTGAAAGAGAAGTTTTTGGCAATAGCAACTACTATTTAAAAAATCAAGTTTTAAAATATTATTCTTTATTAGAGGTTGTAGAAAAAAGTATTTTATTCTCAAGCTATAAAAAGAAAATCCAAAATTTAAAACGGAATACTATTGCACGCACTGCAGTTCCTAGTGCTTTTTATAGACATAAATAAAAAAATTTTATGACATTATGTCTAATACCAACAATCTATTTCTTTATCTATGGATGCAACCAAAGTAATATCAGCTCTTTTAACCTGTTTAATGTATAACTAGATTGTGAGAAAAGTTCCACTAAAAGGTTGAATTACATAGAAATATTGACAGAGCAAAGCAACAGAAGCTGTTGCTAGACCTTTTGCTCTAATAATTAACATTTATACAATTCATATCTTTAAAGAAAATAGTAGCAAATGTAATAAAATCAATCTTTGTGTACCAACTGGAGCAAGATATATGCCCTAGACACAGTACTGACAAATCTTGTGAACATGTGTTTATAAGAGTACCTTGCCTGGTTTTAATACATCTGTATCTGCAATATGCAGATCTGCAAAATATATTTGTGTTCAAAAATTATGACCACATAAAGTTTGTAACCCTCTCAAATTGAGGGGGTTTAAACTTTATATGGTCATAATTTTTGAACAATAAAATATTTTACTATGAAATTTAAAATTTCTGGATGAATATAAGTCTAGTTAAAAATTGTACAAAAAATATTACATCGACTTGTTGCCCTCACGTTTGGGGCAAGGGGCTAAGATTTTAGGGTTTCTCCTTCAGTCAATTATACTAAAAACAAAGCATTATTGCTTAGCAATAAAAAAGGGTTCATTGCTTGGCATTAAACAAGGGTTTATTGCTAAGACGACCTTAAGAATATGATTAATTTAACAATGACCAAATAAGATTTCAAATATTGAAAATCATGCAAAAATAAAAGAAAGTATCATATAAAATTAAGAAATGTAACATAAAATCTTACGTGAAAGAACCATTAGAGTTGTGGGGCACACTTTTAACACTATTTTCAAACCTTTTCGTAACGTATTATTTAACAGCTTTACGCTGTTAACAATTTCCACATTTTGAAACTTTATAGTTCCATAGTCAGGAATTTTTCGAGCAACTACAACGTACTGTTTGTAAGTCACAAAACTTGGGTCTATTGTAGATTCTAGAGCTTCTTTTTCTTCTTCAGTTAAATTAAAACAGCCCATTTTTATTTCGTGTGAAACTTGCGTAGCTAAAAGACGGAATGCCGTAGGGTCAACTCTAATGAGTTTGGTTTCCATAGATACGTTAAAACACCATCTTTGTATTGTTGTGACGGTTTTACATGGAAGAAGTATAATTTCCATAGAGGCGTATTTCTTTATTGGGTACATACTGCCTTGAAATAGCCCAAAACAAGGTTTGCTACTTTCGTACAGCTCAAGTGTAGAGCAACCAATATTAAATAAACGACTTGCAGAAATACTGCCATTTTCTGTTTCAACCCTCACAATAGGTTTTGATCCTGGTGGCAAAATCCATAACGATATAAACTTTTTGCTTGGTTTGTTGACTATATCGTGAGCGTTTAACATTTTTCAAAAAACAGTTGTTCGAGAAATTTAATGTTATAACACATAGAACTTTGTTAATAATTAATATACTTTTTTTCATTTTATTTCCAATTATGACGAAATAATTTATTATGGAATATAATACAAATCTGCTTAACAAACTTACATTTTATAATTGGCAACGGTTTTAAAAGATTAAAGATAAAACCGTATGAAGAAGTACAACCACGTGCAAGATATACAAAGCACATAAAAATATATAAAAGATTATTTAAAAAATCATTAGGTACAGAAAATATAAATTCTTTCTAGCAATATAATGACACTATTATTTTTTTGTTTTTTTCAAGTACTTTCACGTTTTATATTTGATAACTTTTCAAGATTTTCAAAATTTGAGATTTCAAAACATTAATTTATTTAACAAACATTACCGTTGATGAGCTACTTGAATAGTTTTAAATAAATGAACTAACACAAATAAAAATTAAAAACGTGTATAAATGAATATTTTAATATTAAAACAAACAAATTTGATAACGGCGGCAAAGAAAAAAATAGGAGTTTGACGCCACCTAAATATTTGTGGCTAGCGTTGGCGCAAGTAGTCATATGAAATTTTTCTTTTGAATAAATATTTCGTTGTTCACCTAATAAAAAAAAATTACAAGAATAAAATATATGATTAAGAGGGTTTATGAAAACAGACAGGAACTCATAGAACACACGGATGACTGGTAAGGCATCAGTCTCACCATTCATCTATGTGTTCTTTGAGCACACACGGATGACTTAAACCACAATTCTTTCATAGCCCATTTAACATAACAGTAAAAGCCCATAACAAGTTTAAAATAAAAAGTTATATATATATATATATATATATATTAAAAACTCCGTTTTTAATATATATATATATATATATATATATATATATATATATATATATATATATATATATATATATATATATATATATATATATATATGTATTCAGCTCACTAAAGAGCATTATAATCCATCTCTTTCTTCCCCCTTCCTCCTTGGCGGCTCTGGCTAATTACATTTTAAGTCGATTAGTTTTGTTTTTAACCTCGTTTTGAAATATCTCGTTTCGAATTTATAAAGTAACCAATAAACGATTTTTTAAAAAACGCAATAGCGTACATTGTGGTAACGTCAAAATGTTTGTCCGAATATTAATCCCACAACCAATAGCATTTTTAAGAAATTCTTTTGTTTCTGTCCAATGTTTGATCGGATATCAATCCCAAAATACCTTACGTTTTTAAATAAAGTTATATTTTTAGAGCACAAACGGTACTCTATCGTTTTAAGAAGCCAATAAGTTGGAGTTTTAAAAGTTGGTTTAAAAATAAAACTGAATATATATAAATATCGTTTAATATCGAAGGTGAATACTTATGATTATTATATTTAGAGTAATGTTTTTACATGTTTAATACTAACATAAATTTATTATTGCAACTTCTGAAGTAGAATAAAATAGAAAATTTTTCAAAAGAACTAATGATTATGTAAATGGTTCACAACTTCTAGTTGAATAACTTATACTTTCATGGGCCACGTTGCCATGGAAGCTGAGAAGACCAAAATTTTTTCAAAAAGACCATTTTTTAATTTTTGTAAAGCAGGTGTTTAGTTGTAAGTTTTGATATATTAGGTTTTTTGGTGCTTTACCGTACCCCACCCCACCTCACCCCATCACTAAAAAGTCATACTATGACCATGACTCTAAGTGTTACACTTTAATACAGTTTAGATATATTATTAGCCTACAAAAATGCCGAAAGTTAGGGCTGCAATTACACAGATGAAAATTGAAAATAAATATGATAGTGGTCCATGTGAATTATCAATGACAGATCTAAGCTCTTTTAGACAGATTATTCAGTACTATTACAATCTTATTCAAGTAAACCCAAATGAAGATAACGTATTAGTGACTCAGAAAATTAGCAATAATATAAAATTTATTTAGGCTACAGTAAACCCAACTTTATTTCTTATAACAGTCAAATCTATGATGGGAAAGTTAGAAATCTTCTTGTACTTGTTAAGGTTGTTAAAGTTTGTACTTGTTATTTATCGCAAGAAGTGATCAACTGTAACTAATATTTAACCGAACCGAAAATTGATTATTAATTCCGATTATGATTATTTATTAATCATAACCGGAACAGAAAATAAACCCGGAAACCCGGAAACCCAACCCGGAAAAGGAATCGAAATCGGAACCAAAAATTAATAATATATATTGTTTTTTGAAGTTAGTTTTAAAAATAACTAATAACAGAATCCAACAGCTAGAAGATTTCCTCAACAAAAAAAAATATTTCCAATTTTTCTGGATTGATTCCGTTTCTTTCGTTTGGAAGAATATCTCCAGCTGTAGAAAACAGTCTTTCAACATCTGTAGATGTTTGAGGTGGTGTGAGGTAATTTTTTGCCACCTTAGTCAACGCTAACTTGATTTTAGAATTTTCATTTTTTTTTCATAGCTTTTCCAAAACTCAAGGCATTGAGAAGCCATTAGACTATTTAAAAAATCATTCAACGCTTCTTTATCATTTTGGAAGACGAACGTTCATTTTGTCCTATTTGATTTTGAAATTGCTTAATAATTTTTGACATTATATGAACAAATGATGCGTATTTTTCATTTCCGCCAGATAGAATTTAAGTTGCAGGAGCCAATTCATCTAGAGGTTCAAAATTATCCATTTGGGACATGACAAGGTGTTGAGATCTGAAAAAATACTATTTGCATTTTGGAGTAGTGTAGCAACTGAAAAATGTTCTTTTTTTTTCAATTACTAAAAAATGTTTTTCCATTCAATTTTTCATAACAATTTTTTATTTTCTGGACACTGATATCGCTAGAGGTTGTTTCTAAAGTTTTATTTATTGTTGTCACAATTGGAATACAGGCACTGATACAAGCGTCAACACTTGATAAAATTTTTTTGCCTCCTCAATAACACATAAAAGTTTACCTCTTTTTCATAGAGGCTCCAATCTTGGACAGAAAATTCAATTTCCACCGAAGGAAATTTGGTTAGGTGTAAAGTTTGCTCAAGCTTATAATAGGTGGAGTTGTTGCAAGATTGCTTTTTAAGCCAAGTCTGAATTTTGTATCCATTTGAATTTTGTATCAAGACAGACTGACACACTTTTAGCTTCTGATTGAATCAACTTTTCTTGAGAGCAAATTTTATTTTTTCATAAGTTGGTTCCAGTAAACTTCTGTAGTATTTTTCGCTAGCAATTTTGTAATTAGGAGAAACAAGAGCATGGCGCCTCAAAATCCCAGCACCATCAACCACGGTTGGAGGTCAAGAACCATCATTTCAAATATTAACTTGAAATTTTTGGCTTTTTTCAGAATTAGAGTCAATTTTTGAAGAAGCTTGAGTCTAGTTTGGAATTGTAGATTTTAACATGTCAATTCTTTTTTTTTGATCGTATATTGAAGATTGGAACTGTCTTTCTCTTGTTTAATTTCAATTCAGCTTCTTCGTTGGCTCTTAGATTTCCTGAACCTACTAGCGTAAGTTTGATTCAAGTTGATGGTTCTTCAGGTGTGACTAACGTGTGTCAGTCAGGTGTGACTAACGTCACACCTGAAGAATTATCAACGTGAATCAAATTTACGGAAATTCTCGCGTGAATCCAATTAAAAACTGTTGTGCTAAACTTAAAAAGGAGTTGGTTGAAGAAAAACAACAGATAATTTAACACTTTATAGATTATATATAATTACCCAGCAAACATAACAGCATTGAATCAACGTTGAAAACATTGAAAACCGGTTGCAAAAGATGTTGCGGAAACGTTGTCAAAGTAATCGATTTTGCAAAGATATGTAACGTTGTTAAAAAGACGTTGATTAAACGTTGTTGCATAACGTTGAAAAAACGTTATGTAACAACGTTTACTAAAAGATATTAAAAAAATGTCACAAATAAACGTTGAAAAAAGGTACTTTAAAGCGTGGCATAAACGTCGCAACTTATGGTAAATATAAAAAAGCTTAAAATATACAATTTATAGATATATAAGATAAATATAAATATTTTTTTTAATATTTATATGTGTGTTAGTGTTTGTATATATATTAATACAATATATAAAAATACAACAAACGAGATATCGTATCGATAGGCCAGGACATCATTGAGATACAGAGTTTAAATTAAAAAATAAAACTTGTATAAACTTGTAACAACAGTTGAAGGAATACTTGACTGGAATTGACTGGAACAGTTGAAGGAATACTTGACTGTTTTTCCAAAATAATTCCCATAACTCAGCATGTATTGAAGTAAAATGAAGATATCAGATAAATAGAAATTTGAAAATTCATAAAAATTAGATTTCCATGGCTTTTTAACTTGTTTTCTGGACAGTACAGTTAAAGGCACTGCTGCTAGACCTATATAAACAAGCATGCTATTTTCTGGAAACCTAGTATCTAGCTCATTAATCAAATTTTCAATTTATGGAAAAGTAATGCTATTTTTAAAATAGTCACAAATTGTGTTTGTTGGATAATTACGTTTCACAATCTAGGTCTCACTTCTTGGATATCAAGAGTTTTGACCAAACTAAGAGTGATAGTATACCATTCAGAGTGATATATATCCATTTAATTTTTAATTTCTAATAACAGATTTTTTAGATTAGTTATTTCAAAACACTGCTGGGATATGTCAAAAGATTTAGTTTGAAGAGTTACAGTAATTGCATAAAAAATATTCATTTAATGTTTTGTTATAACTAAAAATACAATAAAAGATAAAATCTGTTAATAATTTAAAAAAGAAGAGTATTGGAAGCAGCTTCACTGTTATATTCCTTTTGATTCATTTAATCCCATTACCGCTATAGCATCAACAATAGGTATAAAATTAACAAACAAAAGAAGCATCAAGATCTCTGAGCTTTTTCGACATCATCAACCTATCTTCTTCGTCAAGTATCAATTATTTTTCTGATTTGGACTTAAATATTTTTCAGGACAGTTACTACGTTTAAGAGGTAAGTTAAAAAAATAAGAAATTTCTTTTACTTGGTCATGAAGATTTTTTACTTTTTGAACTTGGTATGCAGTTCCTACTACTAAACTAAGTCTATGGCTTGCACAATAAACAAAA